TTAGGGGTTTAGGGTTTAGGGGTGCCGGGCGTTTAGGGTTTATGGCTCCCAAAAGTATTGATGGAAAGGTATCCCTTCAGCACCCTAAGGGAAGTTGACCCTAAACCCTAAACCCTAAACCCTACACCCTAAACCCTTTTTTGAACGAGGGCTCTCTGAAGTGCCTAAACCCTTAACCCTAAACCCAAAACCCCAAAAGCTCAGCCAGGCCTGGTGGAACTCGGGGACCTTGGTTTGGGGCTTTCGGGGTTAAGGGTTTCGGGCTTCCTTTCCTAAACCCTAAACCCCTGGGTTTAGGGTTTAGGGTTTAGGGTTTAGGGTTTAGGGTTTAGGGTAAACCCTAAACCCGAAACCCTAAAAAAAGGGAGGGGCCCAAAAAACCACACAAAAGACGAAAAGGGCACTGCCCTGCGGACCGAGAAGCTGCTTGGGGAATCACCTCCTCGAGCAAGCTGCGCTTGAAAGTCTCCTGGGTAGTTCTCTAAGTTAGGGTCCCTTTTTAGGTCCCCCATATATAGTACGGCACCCTTATCCCTTTTTACAACAGGCCTCGTACACAGCAGCCCGGTCCCCAGCACACTCGCTCACTGTAAGGCGAGCAAGGGTTCCTAAACCCTAAACCCTAAACCCTAAACCCTAAACCCTAAACCCTAAACCCTACACCCACCCTGAAAGGGACCCTCATTTCGAAAACCACCTACCTCCACATCCAGCTTCACCAGGCCGAACTTCGTGGGGGCGGTGTAGGAGATGCGCCCTTCGTGCTCCACCTGGGACTTTCCAAAAAAGTAGGTTACCTTATTTTGGGGGTCCTTATAAAAAGGACCCTATTGTTAAGGGTACTATACTAGGGTTTAGGTTTAGGGTTAGGGTCCCCTATTGTCGGACATACCCACCTGAAACCGAGAAGTCCAAGACCTGGGAAACTCGCTGCCGGGATTGGCCATCACGAAGTTCCTGGGCTTTGGAGTAACCCGGTAGAAAAAAGTATAGACTTTTATTTTTTAATCGTTCCTTTAAGGAACAGGTCCCAAAAAAAAGTACTAAAGCATGGTACTCCAAAGCCCAGGTTCTTATCCGCGAAACGAACCCTTCGCCGATCCCGGATGCCGCCCTCCTCACCCACCAGGCTTCGAACCTTCACCTTGGCTGTCTTCTGAGCCCCTCCTAAAAGTTAAGCTTTTGGCTAGCGCCTATCTACAGTATTCTACTTCATATAGAAGCCCAAAAACTTAAAGTCCGAAGCGTGCCAAGCAGAAGAACGCCAAGTCGCGATGTACTCCAGGTTGGGGTCCGGAGGGGTGAAGGCATCGCCCTCCTCCACGCGGTCGCACTGGGGAACATCAAAGATGTTCAGGAGCAGCTTCTGGTCGTCGATCTTCATGCCGGTCCACGACTTCCTGGTTTTAGGGTTTAGGGGTTAGGGTTTAGGGTTTAGGACCTGACCATCACAAGAAAACCCTATCATCTACTGCATGTCCCCGAAGTGAGTCGCAGAACAAGCAATAAGAATACAAGTACCCAGCTTCTGCCGCAGGCTGCTCAGGAAAGCCTTGCCCAGCGTGGTACGACCCTCCAGAGACGTGGCATCGCCGCTGCAGGGTGGGAGTTTGCCACGGAAGCGCTCCTCGGTGGAGGTTTAGGGTTTAGGGTTTAGGGTTTAGGGTTTAAGGTTTAGGGTTTAGGGTCGCTCCTCCGTGGAGAGGGAGAACTTGTCCAGATTGAGATCCACACCTGGGAGTTTCCGAAATAATGGGTACTTTATTTTGGGGTCCTTTTAAAAAAGGATCCTACTATTTAGTGTACTATATTAGAGTCCCCTATTTTCGGAAACCCCCACCTTGTGGCATTTCGCGCTGGCCTAGCTGGAAACGCTGTGGCATGAACATCGGCCGTCCCGACTGGCCCAGCTGCATTCCAGTCGGCTGGCCCTGCAACGCATGTCGCTGGGCCAGCTCGAAGCGGTCCAATCCGAACTCCACGCCGCCGTAGATCGCCTGGAGCTTGCTCTGGCCGCCTGTGACCATGTCGATGAGGCGCCCATTCTGGAGCTTGATGCGGGAGTTCCCGCGCATGTTCCAGAGCTGTGGGATCTCCATGTAGGGCTCTGGCGGGGCGCCCTTCACGATCTCGTCCGCCAGACGATACCACGACGGGTCGATACGTGCCTTCGAATCCACCAGGTACTTGGCCATGACGGAGGCCTTCTTGCTTGTCCAATACCCTACTAGTAGCGGAACTGAAGGATAACCTTCGGGAATATATAGAAACCATAATCAGCACCCAAAAAAGAAGTTAACCATCGAGATTATATGGAGATTGAGATTGTAATACCCCGAAAGAACAGTAAAGGTTTTTGCATCTGGTTTGCAGCGACT